CACTCTAGATCCACCCATGTTGTTACAAATGGCAATTTCATTCTTTTTTTGGCCAAGATATATATATATAATATAATACATATATAATATATATTATATATATATCTTTTCAATCTTCAACACACCTTTTTTTTTTTTTTAAAGATTTTATTTATTTGACAGAGAGATACAGCGAGAGAGGGAACACAAGCAGGGGGAGTGGGAGCGGGAGAAGCAGGCTTCCTGTGGAGCAGGGAGCCCGATGCGGGGCTCGATCCCAGGACCCTGGGATCATGACCTGAGCCGAAGGCAGACGCTTTACGACTGAGCCACCCAGGCACCCCTCAACACACCTTTTAACATCACTCTCGATCAGAGTGTATTTTTCCGGAATCCAATCTAAGAGCACAGATAAATATAGATAAAAAGTTCCATTATCCTGGAATTGCTGTTAAGATCAAAATCTGAAGAAAAAACTGCTAAAACCCCCATTCTAAGTTGAAAATCACAATGGAAGCTGTACCTAACCACATCCTTGCAAGTCTTACAGAGAATGCATTTCCGAGAAGAAACCCAAACCCCATTTCCCTGCCTCTGACAAGAGGAAGATTAGGACAGAGAAAGAGCCTCTTGGAGAAAAGTTTTCAAGATAAACCCTATTTTTTGAAGGGGAGGAAAATAAATTTTCTCAGCTATCAGAACAAGTCCGGAAAGCACAGGAGAGTTTCTGGTAAATTCTGAAGTGTGTTAGAACTATCACTCACACCTTCTCCAAGTTGCAGACTCACATGAAGCTTGGCAAGCCATTCAGTCTGTGGGGTCTGAAGCTCATGCTTCATGGAGAAAGGGGCAAGATGACAGCTTTGAAGGAGGCCACAATAGTGAAAGAGCCTGCATTATCCCTCCTTGGCAGATCAGGGTATATGAGTTTCCTGTAGCTGAATGAGCACAAAGAAAGCAGTTGGCCTTGAGCCCTTCTCATGGTATCCCATCTAACAGGACCAGGCCTAGGGTGGAAAATTCTACCATGTGAAGCAGATTTCCCATTCTAGGGATGCTGAATAATCCACAAAGGTTACTCTATTAGTGAGTCAACTTTTGGAAAAGGGATATAATAACCAGTCAGTGTTGAGGGGCTAACCCCAGCAATAGCGTCTGTGTAGGCACGCTTGGACCTTCTTCCGTCTTTCTCTTGGTGGCATTATCAGAAAGGAAGGCAGAGAAATAGGACCGTAAACGTAAAGAATTTCCCTCCACTTCAGCCACTAGAGCTACAAACAGGTCTTTGCTGCAGCAGGGGATGGAAAGATCTTACACAGCAGGAAATAAGAGTTCATCGTAGCCAAGTTCGGAGTAGCTATCGCCAACAATAAAACCATTTCATAGGATCGTGAGTCCTCCGTAAACCTGGTGAATATATACACTTCAATTAAGTATTTATTCAGCCCCTTGCATTATACTGTGCCAGGTGTTAGAGGCACCTTGATGCGCAGAAAGAGGTGGCTCCTGCCTCTTCTGGAGTACACACTTCCTTGTCTCCTTTTGCCTGCCTGTGTCTCTGAATCACTCTGTCTTCTCCCTCTGACAGACTATTCTTCAAAGAAAGTTAAGACAGCATCATCCATTAATTACTGCTTATTTTTTTTTAAGCAACGTAAGGAAGATTTGCCCAGAATACATTTTGAGAAGCAAAGAGACTGACTGCATTTTCTTACTTCAAGTACTGTACATTAAATTCTGCCAACATTCCTTTCTCAACCACATTTCCCAAAAGCTTAGCACTTGGCCATAAAAGTTCACCCCCGTCTAAAATTTGGCATGCCTGACGGCAAAGTCTTCAAATTTGCCAATTTGGCTAACATCTCCATTTTGAATAACAAGTAGAGAAATAGGAAAAAACTGGAGTGAAATGCTATAAATCATGGCATTATTTAGACAATTCATTTCATGGGATAATCGCAGGTTTAAAAGAAATTTACTCTAAATTATGGTAGATTTGTTGTCAGATTTTTTACAAAAATTTAAGACCTGCATAGAAATATAAAATACAAATTTAATTAATATACAAAGTTCTGAGAATTTCAATTCTATTGAAAAGTCTTCTTTTTGTATTACTTACACATGACTATTACTTAATTTCAGATTAAAACAAAAATGACAAAACAAAAACTCCTATCTACATAGCATATATGGATATATATGTAAATTATAAAGATTATATATTATAGTATATAATATCCTAAAATATAAAGAATTATAAAGATATATAGCACATACACCGATAAATTGTATATATACCTATGTATATAGACATATGTACATACATATATATATGTACACACACATACACACACAAATGTGTGTGCATATATATGGTACTAGAATATTTGGCAAAGAGCTTTAGGGAGGCTTTTGTTAGTTTTGTTGGAAATAACTCTAGGTATGTGGGATTAAAGGATTTAATCCTATCCATTGATATACCTTGTGTAGTTGGGCTTGAGGTATTTGTACATAAAGACAGAATCATGTTGGATCTGTAAACATCATTTGTAGGATGGATTTTTAAAAGTGGTGATTGACAGAATTCCACAGAGAAAGCCAATACAGAATAAATGTGTGTTCTAAGGATCTGCTGCCAGGCAGGACTACAGAAGGTTCTGTCCAAGGCACTGACCACATTTCTGCAGTTCTTCCTGTTTCCCACACTTTCTGAAAAATGAAACACTCTTGCAACTTTCCAGATTCCCCGTGTCAAACTATCACACAATTGGAATAATTAGAAAACACTATCTTATCATTCTCATTTACAAAGATAAATCACGTGTAGTTAGTAATCCTAATTTTGCAAAAATTGGTTAAAAATCATGTGATACAGATCCCCACATTTTCATACAAGTACAGAAGCATTTGTCTGGAAATTCTATCTTAATATGAGGTGCACACTAATAAAGCCTCGATGACCACAAATAATGGCACAAACATTGGATTCTCAAGGTAGCCATAGGGTTTTTCCCAACTCCCTCTTTAAAGAAGCATTTGGCACAATTCTCTTGTCACTCCTTAAGAAAATTCAGAATTATAAAACGTAATTTAGAACTACTATATATTGTATTAATGATTCAGGAAGCATCTTTTCAAATGAGCTACGGGCATAACATGTTTATTTCCATAATTACTGCAGCAAACCTAAATTTCCTTGAACAAATTTTTTTTTTTGAAAGGACAACCTTCAGGTTTCACATCACGCAGTCTGAAACTTCTTAGGCTTTGCTCATCAAAAGCCATTATGTCATATGCCCTGCAGGTGAAACACATGCCCTAGAGCAACAATCTTAGCAAGTTTTGAGACTTCCTGGGCTTGACGACACGGTTCTCTCTAGAACAATCTTGACAATATCCATCTATGTTATAGCAGAACACCTTCACCAAAAGATGAAATCTCCACACATTCAGTAGACAGAATGGAAAAGCAGACCTTTTGTATTATTGGAGATTAGGGGTCAAAGCTATCAGTTGAATACCATGTTCACTTAAAAGCCAATAGGCACTAATGTTGGGAATAAATAAGGAAAGAAATTTCCTCAAGTGATACTTCAAAGACTTTGCAACATCTGGAATTTGGTTCCATACAGGGTATTCCACTAAAAAGTAAGCATAAAAAGATTTTAATAGGGCAAACAAGATTCAGGTTTCTTACAATGTGTTCTCCCCTGGGGGAAACAAATAACACAATGCATCTGACTAACCTTTCTGCACTTCAGCTGCATTAATTAACATTTAGTCATGGATTCCATCATGAGCCAGATGAACTCAGTGCTACAGCTGTTTCCAGTGAGGGGGGAAATATGCTTCCACATTTCAGATTCCCAGCATTTATAAATCCAGGGAAAAATGTTTTATTGACTCCCTTTGTGCCAGCATTATTGATATGCATTACGTATTAGTCACCCAAATAAATTCACACACACCCTAGACTGTAATTAAATCAGTGTCAGTATCACATGAACTGGGTTAGCCTGAGCCAATGCTATAAAAACCACATTCCTAACCCTTTTTCTTACATCAAAAATTAAGGAAGGGCTAATGAACTGATCAAAGAAGTAGATCATGGCCTTGAAAAAAAATTATTGTTGAGTGAGTCAAACATTTAAGTGGAGATCAGGTACTCTGAGAGAGAAGGATGCAGATGACTAGAAAAAAATGAACAGATGTTGAAGAAATTTAACTGCAGGATCTCATGGCTATAAGCCAGACATGTGGAAGTGGTTGTTTGGGAGCAAAGCTGAGGTACAGAACGGCAATGCTTGGTTAGTCACTGAAAGAGGATTTTTGTTTTGTTTTATTTTTATTTTTTTTTTTTTTTAAGATTATTTATTTATTTATTTATTTATTTATTTGAGAGAGAGAATGAGAGACAGAGAGCATGAGAGGGAGAAGCAGACTCCCTGCCGAGCAGAGAGCCTGATGCGGGACTCGATCCCAGGACTCCAGGATCATGACCTGAGCCGAAGGCAGTCGCTCAACCAACTGAGCCACCCAGGCGCCCTGTTTTGTTTTATTTTTAGAGTAAAGATTCCATTAAGATGTAATTTGTGAGGAAATATGACAGTGAATCAGCTGGGCAACGCAGTCCACCTGTAACATCTTGCCAAATTTCTTATCCCAAGAGCACTGTAAAACTAATTTTGTCTCCCATAGTCCCTTATAAATGCCGTGTCATGACTTCTGGTCAACTCTGGAGTCTCATGAACAAATGGATATCCAACAGTCATGTGGCCATGTGTGTAGTGTGTGTGTGTGTGTGTGTGTGTGCGTGCGCATGCAGGCACGCATGTGTGTGCAATCATTTGTACTGGGGTACAACTCTGGAATCATTACCTGTGTAAATACTAACCAAAGTTGGCACTTGCCTTTTCAAATTAATGTTCTTAGCCACAACTCAAGAAGAATAAAGGTTGTGTGTCTTCACTTTTACCAACATGGAATGGTAATAACTTAATCAAGCCAGAAAACTCTCTTACCTGGAACTACTTCAAAAAGGAATTTTCCTGGGCTCTCTTCATTGCAGGGATGCTCAAGGACTTTATTTCCAGGCAGAAAGATGGTACCCTGTGAACACAAAGGCCCCAAACATCAACATCATCAGAAGGCAAATACTGAATATCATCAACCTCATCAGTGGATATCCAAGGCGTATCTGTAATCCAGTTTACAGTAATATGCATCAGACTCATTTATATTCCCAACTGATCAAACATCATGGAACAGAATCATATTCATTCAACTTTTAATAGTATTTGTTGACCACCTAATGTGTACAAGACACTGTATTAGGTGCTGAGTTCATTTTAAGCACCAGTTTATTAAATGCATTCTGTGTGCCAAAATTTTTACTGAGCATTCTACCAACATTATATTATTTAATTGTTAGAATTTAGTTGTTACAGAAGTCTTATAAGTTAGGTATTATTTTCCCCATTTTACAGCTGTGAAAACCAAGGCAATGATATAAACAACTTAGCCAATGTTACCAGGGCCTTCTCTTGATTATTCCTTCTCTTTTCTGTTAGATTTCTCTCTCTTTAGTGTATTATTTCCATTACAATTGAGACATACTTAAAAATCTATCCTAATAAAAGATAGGAGGCCCCCGGGTGGCTCAGTTAAGCGTCTGCCTTTGGCTCATGTCATGATCCCCAGGTCCTGGGATCGAGCCCCTCATCGGGCTCCCTGCTCAGCGGGGAGTCTGTTTCTCCTTCTCCCTCTGCCCCTTTCCCTGCTCGTACTCTCTCTCTCTCTTTCTCTCTCAAATAAATAAATAAAATCTTAAAAAAAAAGTTAAAAATAAAAGATATTACTTCGACTCCCCCCTCCAGCTATCATCTTTTTTTTTTCCTTGCCTAGTAAAGAGTTGCCTACGTTGAATCTATTTCCTTACATATATCCACTGCAGCCTGGTTTATGCACCCACACTTCTAATTACATGATTCTCACAAGCTGCATGCTTGACAATTTTCAATCCTCACTAAATTATGGGACATTCAGCACTATTCACCACTCTTTCTTGAAGCATCTTCTTTCCTTGGTTTCTTAGTTTTCTCCAGGTTTTTCTCTTGGTTTTGTGTTGAGTCTCTTATGCTGGCTCCAAGCCGTCCTTTAAATATTAAAGTGTTTCAAAGATGTATCCAATGATTCCTTCTCTTCTGACTCTATTCTCTCTGGGAGCTGTCTCATTCATGCCTATGACTTCAATAACCAACTATAAACCAATGAACATCAGATTACTATTTCTGACTCAGGGTTCTCTGAGCTTCAGACCTTTATATCCAAGAACTGATTTGAATTTCCATATCTCAAAAGTGTCTTAAACTAAATTTAGTCAATTTTTTAAATTAACATATAATGTATTATTTGTTTCAGGGGTACAGGTCTGTGATTCATCAGTTTCACACAATACACAGTGCTCACCATAGCACATACCCTCCCCAATGTCCATCACCCAGGCACCCCATCCCTCCTACTTCCCTCTACTCCAGCAACCCTCAGTTTGTTTCCTGAGATTACGAGTCTCTTATGGTTTGTCTCTCTCTCTGGTTTCGTCTTGTTTCATTTTTCCCTCCCTTCCCTTATGATCCTCTGTCTTGTTTCTCAAATTCCTAATATCAGTGAGATCACAACCGACAGAATGGGAGAAGATATTTGCAAATGACGTATCAGATAAAGGGCTAGTATCCATGATCTATAAAGAATTTATCAAACTCGGGGCGCCTGGGTGGCTCAGTCGTTAAGTGTCTGCCTTCGGCTCAGGTCATGGTCCCAGGGTCCTGGGATCGAGCCCCGCATCGGGCTCCCTGCTCCGCGGGAAGCCTGCTTCTCCCTCTCCCACTCCCCCTGCTTGTATCTCTTCTCTCGCTGTGTCTCTCTCTGTCAAATAAATAAATAAAATCTTTAAAAAAAAAAAAAAGAATTTATCAAACTCAACACCCAGAGAACAAATAATCCAATCAAGAAATGGGCAGAAGACATGAACAGACATTTCTCCAAAGAAGACATCCAAATGGCCAACAGACACAGGAAAAAATGCTCAACATCACTTGGCATCAGGGAAATCCAAATCAAAACCTCAATGAGATACCACTTCACACCAGTCAGAATGGCTAAAATTAACAAGTCAGGAAATGACAGATGTTGGCGAGGATGTGGAGAAATTTAGTCAATTTAAATGCAATTATTTTGGGTCCTGTTTATGTATTCCCTAGCTTTGTGACTGGCATCTTCTTCCAATCAGCAGCAAAAGCCAGAAATGTAGGAGTCATCATCTCTAGTATATCTCTACTACCACCACTCCCTAGTTCAAGTGACTATTGTCTGCAGTCTGGTATGTTTTGTGTGTGTGTGTGTGCATGTGTGTGTGTGTGTTTTAAGATTTTATTTATTTGAGAGAGAGAGAGGGAGAGAGCACAAGTGGGGGGAGGGGCAGAGGGAGAAGCAGACTCTCTGATGAGCAGGGATCCGGACATGGGGCTCAATCTCAGGACCCCAAGGTCATGACCTGAGCCAAAGGCAAACGCTTAACCAACTGAGCCACCCAGGTACCCCTGTGGTCTGCTATGTTTCAAATTCACTGGATTCCCCATAATACTCAAAAATCTTTCAATCCACTTTTTTCCTTAATGCAGTCAAAGTATCTTTAGAAACAGAAATTTCACCTTGCAGCTTTCTTGCTTAAAAATCTTCAATGCCTTTCATTTGTCCTAGGATAAAGTTCTGGAGGGTCTATAAGCTCATTTTCCTACTTTTTGGTTTTGATGCTTTCTACGACTTTCTATAATCAAGCCGGTAAATAAATAAGTAGTATCATAAATTCTATAAGTAGTATCACACTCCCGTCTACCTTAGGATTACATTCTTTCCTGGATTATTTTATAACCACTGATTGAACATCCAAAATATACTTGCATAGGTACCAGAAAGTTTTCCTGCATTGATTTCCATTGTATGCAATTATGTTATTTGTAAAATTATTTGATTAATGCCTGTCTCCATCATTAAACTGTAAGGGAGCATGGATAATACATGTTTTGCTCCCTAATTTACCACCAATGCCTAGTATTTTGCCTGCCATAAGGTTAATGCTAAAAATTGTTGAGTGAATAAGCACTGTGAGTGCAGGAAAGCCAAAATTCAAAACCAAGCCTGCTGGATTTCAAAGTCTCTGCTATAGTGCACCGCATTATATCCTCCAGTTTTGTCAGTTTGAAGCAATATTTAGCTCAAGTAACATTGTACTCAATTTTCATCCTACCTGGTTTGGCACAGAAAATTATAGTCATCAGCTCCGTCCACTTCCAGGCTTAGAGCGATCAAGCATAACACTCCCTAACTAAAGCCCAAGGAATTATATGTTAGACATACCCCTTTCTCTCCCTGCTTACAAGATGAAGTGGTGGAGATATTGCCTTTGTTTTCCTGCTCCAGGAAGCAGATTTTCCTACTTCTCGTCATATCTAGTGTGTCTAGCCTATGGATCCCATTTTGTTTTCTGGTACTTTTCAATAATTTTTTAAAAAATTACTAAGTGCTTTGAAAATATTCATCATAATTAAGATCTTTTTTCCATAGGTTGAATCTGTATGGTTTCCATATAAAATGATAAAATCAATTGCTTCAATTAAGAGTTTATTTTACTCACTGAAATGGTTTTGTGAAGTCATTAAATTTCTGATTTAGCTGAGTGTTAGAACATAGCATCTCAACTTCTAGACAGATGCAGTATTCATTTATGCATGCATGTGTGCTTGTATACTTGCACGTGGGTCTGTATGGCTCCCGTCTAATTCTACGCCTTCAGGCTCTACTTAGGATCTTAAGGTGTACACACATTGTATAAGTTTAATTCAAGCCACTTTCCCATACAAATAATTCTCCTGCAAGAGCCATTCTCCTTCAGGAAATCCCCAACCACCTGACTTGGTCATTAAAAGGCAAAGTAGTGCTATCCTTTGTTGTCTTTGTCATACATGTGAAATAGCTACTTCTGGCTGAAATTTTTATTTTCATTTTCAAATTTGACATCTTACAGATTTTATATTTTAGCTGTTTTCCAAATAAATCGTGATGTCAGCATAATAGTTTAAATATCAGTAGACCGTGGTTAGGGCAGAATATATTGTAATTGACAAAAATTTGCTCTGGTCAATTCTTTAAGTCATTCAGTAAGTAAAATAAAATTATTTAATCAAAACTGCTAGCTTGATCTCCTTGTATAGAAACCATATAGTTAAAGTCTATAACTGAGAGAAGAGTTTTTTTTTTTTTTTTGACAGAGAGAGAGAGTGTACAAGCAGGGTAAGCAGCAGGCAGAGGGAGAGGGAGAAGCAGGCTCCCCGCTCAACAGGGAGCCCGATGTGGGGCTCGATTCCAGGACCCTGGGATCATGACCTGAGCCAAAGGCATATGCTTAACCGTCTGAGCCACCCAGGTGCCCCTAATTGAGAGAAGAGTTTTAATTGTGATAGTTATTTTCAAAGTATTCTGAAATTTTATATTGTTAGAAAATGCAGATAAATTTTAAAAATCTGTAATTTACCCACTGCCATAGATAATTAATATTAGCCGTATTTGTATATATTTATGTATATATGTGTATTAACATCTACAGTTGACTTTTACAAAACAGTAATCAAAATAAAGCCTAATTTATTATCTGCTTCAAAACTTAAAAATCATGTATTGTTATTATGCCAATTTAATAATTAACATCATTTTTTAAAACTAAATAGTATAGTGCTTGTTTGAATATACATGCTTTCACATCCTCTGTTCTGAAGTATTTATGGTTTTTTGTAAGTGTTACTATAACGAATATTTTCATGAACATCCATTAAGCTAAATCTTTGAGCTCCTCCTTAACTTATTCTGTAGGACAAATCCCTAAGAGAGAAATCAGTAGTCAAAAAGTATGCACTGTTTATATGGGTTTGGTTAATTCTTTCCAGAGCTGCTCTAAATTAGCTAAGCAAACAAATAGACAACTTATGAGCAAGTAAAATAAAAGTGCCCAATCTGACTGAGAAGTAGTTTATTGAGACACTACCACATGTCAGATA